ACCCAATCATTTACCCAAATCACCCAATTTTATATATGAAAAATTTAAATACTGCTTAGTATTTGAGTTTCACGACAATTCAATTGCGTACAATTTACTTCAATTTCAAAAGTAGAGAAATTAAGGACTAAATAAATGTATCAATTATCTTATTAAGTATAGCAACCAACTTCTTCTTAGATTTCTTAGACTTCTTACATAAACTATAACTGATTTAGTATAAATTGCACTTGTAGCTCATATTATTTAATTTTAGATCACTAAATTATTAAGTACTGTATTCTTTCACTGTCCAATATAAAATTATATGTACTGTATGATGAATCTATTATTAACATAATTAATTTTTCCTCTCAGATTGTTTATTTATTTAAAATATTGTTTAATATAATTTTAAAAACATTATACATAAATATTTTATAGGTATATTGGTACTTAATTGTTCTAATTTAAATATCAGTCAATTATTAATTCTGTCGCAATACAATAAAAACATCATAAATATACATTGTGATTTTTATGTTAACCATTTTAATAATTGTTTTTTTTTTACAAAAAAAAATAAATTATAATAATAAGTAATTAAATTTCAAAATTATTTTATAAAACTGTTACATCCTTAATTTTGTAATAAATAAGTGATGCGAATAAAATTTTTGTATTGAAATTTTTCTCGTATTTTCAGTTAATATTAATATATTTGGGATTACCAGATAGTAAAATATTTTAATTATTCCATTTAGTTAAATTAAGTGCAAAAATAATTGCAATAAACAAGAAATTTTTGGAATTTTGATAAAAAAATTATGCTCGATCAAATTGCTGTTATAGGAAATTCGTGATAATTTCGTGTCTGGTCTGATAATTACATAATCTTAGGCGACAATACATAATTCTTATTATATGTTTTTCAAAATATTGGAAAGAATAAATAGTAGTTTTTTAAGTTTCAAAATATTTGTTAGAAACATAGGGAAATGTTATGTGCATTAAATGAAATAAGTCAGCAAACTTAATTATTATTCGGTGATGCCATATTGTGATTTTAGAATTGAAGAAGAGTTCGTAAAATAATGTTTAATTAAATTCACAATTGAAAGTAAGTTGAATTTTACAGCAGGTTCACATTTTACCAATAGAAAAATTGTTCTTTTTTTAATTGTGGTAACAATATGCAAAATAATTTTTAAATTTTTATTAATTCATGATTGTATGCAATTCCAAAATGCTTAAATTAAATACAAAAATGCATTGTAAAAATGCTAATTTTATTTTTGATTCTTACTTTTTACCATATTATTTTTCCTATTTTTTTTTTGTACATTTTGGTTAATTAAATGTTAATGAAATTTGTGTAATATTCAGAGATTATTAAATTTTTAAAAATAACATGCAAATTGTATACACAAATCGAATTAAAAATTTAAAATGTTTAATAAGGCATACTGAAATTTTTTAACACTAAATTTATAATTTAAATTATTTCAGTTTTGGTACTTACTTATAACATTTTGGGTAATAACAAATAATCATTTTAAAAATTAATATTTTTATTTTAAAAATGTTATTGGTACTAACATAAATTTTTAATTAGAACCTCCGAAGTAGCTTCCATACAAAATATTTTATTAAAATGTTTTTGGTATTAAATATAAAAATTTGCATTTGATTAAATTTTAATCAGGATTTAAAATAATATTAAATCAAAATATTCATTTAATATAGTTCAATGAAAAACGTGTTAGTTACTGTCTATAATAAGTATAACAGTCTTCAACTTGCCATTTATAATTCCTTAGTAACTTAAAAATGTAATATTAATTTTATGATCTCGAGCTAATATTGTTCATACAGATATCACTTTGTTGCTTTATATAAAAGTTCGAGCACATAACCTCAAGGTAGTGTAGAGACGGAGTAAATTTTCACAAATTTTTAATATTTTTGAATATTTAATGCAATTTAAATTTATTTTTAAATAAAATAATTATTAAATAAAGTCGACCAATTCAGTTTGAAAATGTTGTAATTAATTTAAAACTTGTTTAAAACTTGAGAATATTTTTTATTTCATTACTTAAAATTCTGTTAGAAATTGTAAGTTAAGAGTTTAGAATGAAAATCAAATTTGCATTTTTAGATTCTTGATTATTAATTTCGTATTCCTCACCAGACTATCAACATATTATATTTGTTTCATCAAACCTAAATTTTTTATTTTTAACTCACTTAATTATTGTTATAACACTTGTAATATAATTTATTTGAAAAGCCTGTACGAAAATTTATCAGTTTAATATTATTGACAATTTGACTAAGGTCAACTAATATCAGTTTTAATTATTTCTGTTATACACGTAATTTAATATGTACATAGTTCAAATAAAATTATCACTTTAAAAATTTTGAATAAGTCAAATACGTGATTTATAGCTCTTATTATAATTTGTATTAAAACATAACTCAAAAAAATATAAGTGAAGCAATAAAAATAATAAATAAAGTTGGATCAAACCAATGGTTTGTAAAGAAGCATTTTTTCGTTCAATAAGTGAAAATACAATCTAGCTTTTACGTTATTTAAGTTAATTTCATTCATATACCAAAATATTTAAAAAATTGCATACATTTAGGATGACGAAAAAAAACAAATAAAATTAGAAGTGTCATTAACATAAGATGGAATTTACCGTTAGCTATCTGCATTTCTGGAAATTTGGTGTGGTTCCAGAAATATAAATTGCCGAAAATTAAAATTTTACAAATTTCAAGAGATGATAACTTTATAGAGAGGGAGTTTGGAAAAAAATTTTCTTCTAACGAAATTCTATTTACCAATATCTAAAAGTTATTAAAATTTCCGACTACAACAGTAAGACTCGTAGAAATTTACGGTTTAAAAGAAAAACGATATCGAACATACAAAAAAAACGGTTTTAAATAACGGTTAATTTTAGCAGCCATTTAGCTTTTTGAGTTTTTAATTATGCTGTGCCACGGTAGAAGAAGTCAGCCACTACTTTTATAGGTTAACAAAATTAGGAAAATGTTTATGGTTTCTGTAAAATAAGCAATCGAACAATGGAATTTTTAGGTGAATGAGGGTCTATAACTTTTAAAGGGTGGATGGTAGATAAAAATTTTGTTCTACTTAAATAAGCTTCGTGTAAAGACCTATGTAAATATGAAAATTGAGCTCCCTATCTTCGAGGGTGTACAAGATTTGTATACGGGTCCAGGAAAGGACGAATGGAAAAAGTAAAACTAATAAGCTTTTTTTCCAAAATTTTTTTTGGAAAAGTACTGAGAAAATTAATCAACCAATTCTACAAAAATTGCATATATTTCGTTTTTACATTGCATCAATAGTTATTCAGGATTTTATGATAGTTAACTACTGTTCAACATGTTTAATAGATGTTTGATTTGACTAAAAAATGTTAGTGGATTTTGTTTGATACAAATTTTAATAGCATTTTACAAACTGTTTGATTACTCAATTGTATGCGATCATACTGTTGCATGTGTACGCGTTTGAATATATACCTAAATAAGCTATAAGGAATATAAATAAGAAATCAAACATTTGCAGAACTAAAACTTGGATGTCTGATTGAAATAAGTTTCATCCTCATATACCACGAATCTCAACATCTATCATTTTAAGCGTTGCGACAATTTTAGCAATTTGTAGCACTAGAATTTTTAAATTTTATAGTTTTCGAACAAATCTATTTTAAATATTAGAAATAAAAGTGTTTGATTTTATTCTAAATTCATAATATCGCCTAAACAAATAGAAATATTTTTTTACAATATTGCTTCGTTTCTATAATATTGTCGCATTTAAAGATTTCAAATGGTTATCTTAAGAAAATATAGAGGGAGTACTTTTCATTATCAATGAACTTTCAACTAAAAGTTCATGTATAGTTGTCATTTTTAGTTAATTTGTTTGTATACAAATTTGAAAATCAAAAAAAAACTTTAAATGATTAAATAAATGGAAATTCCAATTTCATTTTATGTATTTGTTAATCAAATTTCTATAATTTCTTTTTGTCAGAATATAAATTTGATGAAATTATGCTTTATGTCGTTAGTGTATTTTAAAATTTTCAAGAAGTTAAAATGAAATTCTTTTCATATTTGTGTCTGCTCTTCTCATTATGTAAGATTTTTAAAATTATAATTAAAATATCAATTTAAATGCTATTAAACACGTTGGTTATCTATTGTTTAATAATACACAATTATTTTACTTGTAGTTTTAGTTAGTTTTGCTGCACAAGATGGTGTAGTTGGACCACCAGGATTTCCAGGTTTACCAGGTATATAAACATGGTTCAGGAATAAAAATAGCTTAGATTTTAATTTATAATCTTGTTTTCTTGAATAGGTAAAAAAGGAGAAGCAGGAGTTCCCGGCATTCCAGGTTTACCAGGTTTACCAGGTCCACCTGGAAAATGTGGTTGTTCAAATTAATTCTTTTTAAAATCAATAATTGAATACTTTAATTATTATAAAATGGAAATTTAGAATAAATAAGAAAATTTAATGAAATGGAATTTGTGATTTTTAGTAAAAGATCAGTGCGAAATTGTGATGAATTGTGATGTGTGTTCGGTTAATTAATTTGATAAGAGTAAGTAAAATTAAAGTTTAACTCACTCTTATCAAATAACTCAGTTTTAGAAGTAGATTGCAAAATTTTTTGCTCCTATATTGTTTGTTTCCTTAAACAAAATTTATTAAAGAAATTGTTGAATGTCAGAAAAGTCTGTGTGTTTAAAAAAACTTAATACTCATTCAGGCCCGATAGCAGTCGTGCATATTTTAAAGTATGTATACGAATTTAATTTTTAATACTATGATATTAATTTCTAAGTGATACAATTTAATTATTTTAATAAATTTTATTTATATTTGCTAAATATTTCAATAAAAAAGTTTATTTTATATATATATATATATATATATATATATGTATATAGCTATATTATATAATTTTTTTGTGTTTTGTTACTTGGAAGCTCCCAATCGTACTTGATTAATTTAAATGTTGTTTCCAACTATTTGCTGAAATAGAATATAAAAATTTTGGTTAATATTCTTAAAATTAATAAATGGAAATAGCAATATTAAAGATTTATTTATAGTTTTAATTCCTGCATTCCACAAAATGTTTGAAATTCTGTTATTAGAAACTATACCTTTGTCACCAATCATATCCAATTAATTATAACATTTCAAGGGGCCTAAGAAAATTTTTAGTACAATGTTGTTAAAATTTTATTTCCTGTGTGCAAACGAGCCTTATTTTGTCTCTTAGTCGATGATTAAAAAAAATTTATTATGGCTAGTAAATAATGAACTTAAATTAAAAATGTATAAGTACAATTGCACTCAATTTTTGGAAGATGTTACGAATGAATTTTTGAAAGAATAGTGCTACTAGAATTTATGAATTTTGTTGTTTAATTGATTCTATTTGTAATACAGAATTTCAGCTATCTTTAACTATAAATATAATACGTATAAATACGTATCAGTGCGTTTTTAAAATTATCTGGAATCAGTCTATTGATCAACAGTCAAATATTTTCAGAAATTGTACCCACACAATAAAATCATTACGATAAGAAATAATCCATTTTAGATAAACGTCATTAATAAAGAATCACAATTGCTTTCATTCCACTACGACCGGAATGTGAAAATATTATAATTAATGCCTTATATTTGAAAAAGAATTGAGATTTGAGACATAAAAATATTAACTATGAATAATTCGAATTTGACTTACACAGTGTTTGCTTGTAGCCACACAGATTTAATAAAATATGAAAATTTAATATGTAAAATTAAATTTGATTCTTAGGGAGGTACTCAAATTAAAGATACTGAAGTTGATGAATAATACGAAGTTCATTATACCCGTACAAACGTAAGCTCAAAGGGTGTATGAAATTTGCCTTACCGCTTGTAGCATTTAAAAATATTGATCTGAGATATAAATATAAATGTATATTTTTGAGCAGCGTCGAATTCTGATTCGATTTGTGCATACTTGTAGGTCTCTGTGTCCGCCCGTCCGTTAATTCAAAAACTAATTGAGCTAAGCTCACCAAGCAATTTTCGTAAACGATTTATAATAGTAAATGCCGGAACCCTAAGTAAATTGGATTTGATTGGATGGACTATATAACTTTGAAAACACATTTAGTCGTGTATTATGGTATCTATTAAAATTACAGTGCTGAAATTTTGCATAAACGAATAAAAATGCAGGATTACATATGAAATACTGTGGCAATTAACAGACAGTATACTCAAAATCATTCATTCGTACGGGTATCACAGTATTCACACGGTCTTGGTTTTTAATTATTTTTTCAAAAAATTCACAAGTTTTTATTTGTCGAGAAAAATATTGTCTTATTAATTTCGATTTTATAATTTTTACCTTTATAATGCATATCCTTGTACATTGTAGGACAAACTTTACCATTTTGTTTTGTTTTAAAATCAATATTTGTTCTAATTGGCCGGTGGAGTAATGCTTGAGGTGGTCTAAAATTATTTCCTAATGGTGCTTTTGGATGTTCTGGACCACCTTGCATGAGACGTCTTAAGGCATGCAACTGAAATTACAATATTATATTACAAATTTTTATTACATATAATATTCAATACCAAAATTTTGTAAGTACCTAAAAGTTTTTCAAAGTTTTTTTGTATGCAAACAATAAAAAATATTTTTACAAATTGGGAATAAAAAAAAAAACTAAAACTTTCATAAACTTTTGTTTCAAATTGCAATATTTTTAAAATATTTATTTTTGTTTTTTACAATAAATTATTGAATTTTATTCCAATTATAACAGAAATTGGATTTTTTTTATTTGGAATCTTATAATTGAATATAAGATATAAAATTTTAGGAACACTTAAACAATATTGTAATTTGAATAAAGTTTTGAAATGATGGGTCAAGTACTTGTATAGAAATAATATTTTCAATAACTCGGTGGTGTACTACGTAAGGATCGAAATTAATAGAACTGCAGCCCTCATCATTGCTTGAAAATATTATGCTGCTTGTGAAGACTGGAATACACTTAATACTTTTGAATTTTGAATAATTTTTCGGATTATTAATATATTAGTTTAATTTCGACTGCATTGTGTAATTTTAAAATTTCGTAATTAGTTAAATTACAAGTGTACATCGATGGTGAAGTGCAAAGATATGCGAAGTAGCAAATTTAAAATTTTGTAAGGGAGCGTTTAGAAAGTTTGCAAATTTTGCGAAATGAAGTCAGTTAATTAACAACTTAAATTAATTTTTGATTTCCAATAAGTTTATTTAATAAAATGTAAATTTTTGTAGAGAAGGTCGTGCATTTAGCCTAAAATGGGTAATCAATTTTTAATACCAAGTGATGTGCTTGTAATAGAAACATTCTAAGAAAGCACTATACCTTTTCTTGCTATTTCGATCGTGCACCTAACCCATTTGTAGCACACCCCTCTCGGAAGAGACAAAAAAAGAGGATCGTTGGAAATTAGTATTGGTGTAAAAAACGAATTTTGAACAATTTGCTACGTGGCATATCTGTTCACCTTACCATCGACATTATACGTCTTGCAAGGTCATTCTTGTAACCAAGTTAATTTAGATGGAAGGAACTCAATATTTTTATTAAATTAGTTTACGAATAATCTTAAGATAACGGTAATGATAATTTTAGTATACTTCAAAAATTAAAACCTAATTTAGTTTTTATTTTAGATCTAATTCAAATTTTATATTTTAAATTCTTTATTATTATTAAAAATTATTTTCATTAATTAAGAGCAACAAAATTTCAGGAAATGAAAGTGAATTTATTCCAGAGTGTTTTCTATAAAAATATCAGAAATAAATTTGGAAGTGAAATTAATTTTACCTTATTATTTAAAATTTTTTTCTTCAATGAACTCTCACTCATAACCAATTTTTAATTCATTTATTTTAAGAGTCTTGATTATTGGATGTGAATGGAATCATTTTCATTATAATATTTTCTAATTAACATTTAGGCAGGGAATTTTCATAATTAATAGACTGCCACATTCTCTTATTCTCCAATAAATAGAAATAATAAACTAGAAATAGCATTGACCCCGAATTAAATTTTTGTTTTTTCTCTTTTTTTTTCTATTTAGTCCAAAAATGGATCCGGAAAAAAAAAATTTGGTTTTAAGTGGAAAACTTTTATTCATTTTTTTTTTTTACCTATTCAACTTTCTCCAAATTATCAGTATATGTAGTTCATTTTTATCTTTATTGACTCTTTCTCCCTCTCTTCCTCTCTCTATGGTTCTGTGAACTAAAACTCTCTGTTGTTTTACTTTTTATTACAATATTTTATTCAGAATTCATTTTAGTTTTTTTCCCCCGAATTATTTTTTTGTCTTTATCTAGAAAAATAATATCCTCTTGTACTCATCCATTCATTCATCCTAACATTATTATCTTTGTATTATGGTTATGAATTATCTTGCCTGCTTGCATACACATTTATTATATTCAAAACGAATACAATTATAACGGTATATGTGTGTGTAGTGTATAAACAAAGGTATATGGAGATAGAGAAAGAGAGTAGGAAAAAAGGATAAAAAAAAGACATACAAATTAAACTGAGAGTGTTTTAATTAACTTAAATTACTAACACAACATCTCAGGGGTAAAAACGATTAATTAATAAAGCAAGCAAATAATTAAAGTGGTTTAACTTTAACCCTAAAATTTTTTCTTGTTTTTCTTTTGCGTTTTTTATTTTTCTAGCTCTGCACCAGGAAAAATGTGATAGAAAACAGAAAATATCAGAAAACCCATACATAAGAGCCTTAAAAGTATAAAAAAAAATAAAGAAACTTTTTTTTGACTACAGAGTTTTTATTTTAGGGTTCCCATATGTGCATGAATTTGGGTAGGTGTTAAAGGATTTGCATAAAATTCATGCAAATAATCTAAGTTATAAAAATTTAGGATTACATTTTATTTAAAATTGTAATTTTGTTATTTTATTTTTAGAAAATTGTGCTTAAAAAATATATTTGTGTTTTAAGCTGTTATAGATCAAGCAACATGTTTTTAGAGATTACCGCTTCATTTCGCACCATGCTTGTAAGCTCTAGCAAATGGAATAATTTGATTTTTCGAAATTCAATGGAGATCATTAGCATTGTTAATTTTTGAATAATTGTTTTAGATTTTCTGTTAAAGATGACAAGATACTGTTAAATAGCCAAAAAAAGAGGAGTAGCCAACTTAATTTTGGCTCAATGGTCTCTGAGAGTATAAGAAGGAGAAGATGAAAATATTGTATGTATTTACCTAAACAATTCAGTTTATTCTGAACCGCGATTGAGAGTTTGTTTATCAAACATTCTTAATTGAAATTTTTTTGACCAAAATTTCGATTTGGTTCCATTTTTGCCTTTAAAAAACTTTTAAAAACCCTAGACCATTATTAAAATATTGGATTTTATAATAGAGTGATAATCAAATTGTGTGGTTATTTAACAAAAATTAAATTTGCATAACGATAAAGTTATAGCACATATGATGGTCAGTAAGTATACCGAAACACACACTATTCAACTAAATTATTAATATTCGTTTAATTCAAAAAATTTTTTCACAAATTGTTAATCTTGAGAACTTATCAAATTTTGTAAGTATTTCTTAAATATTTCCATATAGACGACATGTAATTTCCCATTCATGTCTTTTGGGAATTATAAATAACATAAAGCGGTATCCCTAATTTATTTTCATAATGTGTTCAACTACTCTATATATAGTTCTAATATGTGGACTATCATATTTTTTATTAACTAACAAAAAAAAAAATGAAAACTTGAAATTCTTGAGTGTTTAATTTTAGTTAAGGGTTCCGCAGTATCTCGTCAGTATCTGCTCAACAAAAATAATGAATATAATAAATTCTCGTACATACTAGTACCAAGTACGTTACACGAACTTACAGCGAGATTTTTTTTTTAATTTAAGGTACACGTTCTTCATTTTGTTTGGAGGTTTTTCTCGTACAAATGCAAATTGTAATTCGTCTAGCATTCATTAATATTCAAACTACAATTTTTGTATGTTTGTATTCTGACTTGTGAGTATACGCAAATAATAATGGGCTATTGAAAACAAGATATTATAATAAAAATTTTTTTAAATTTAAATAATATTTAATTTTTATTTTATGTATAATCAAAGATCTTTAGGAATAATGCGTCACAATACCTCCAGACAACTAAGCGGATTAAAGCAGACCTAAAAATCTTACAGGAACGGATAATCTTCTTGCATTTGCAAAAATATCAATGTAATTTTTCTTTGTGATTTAATTTATTAATTAATTCCAAATCAGTATAACGTTGGTCTTTTAATGTTCTTCTTATGACTCTAAAATTAATACACTCATTGTATATTAAAATCTCTTCAGAGAAACCTAAAATTTTAATTGGAAAAACTGAATATATTCGCTCTTGAGTTATTTAAATTACATAATCATTTTCCATATTTTTCTGCACGTCTTAATTGACCTAAAAAATTTTGGTTCTTCTATAAAAAATAAGGCTACACGCTATATACACCTATTTTAATATAAAATTCACGAATAATTTATTTTATTATATTTTATTCATAAAAGTGCCATCATACCCGACCGGTTCATTTATTTCTTAAGAACCTTATATTTTATTATCCAAGTTTATTTTAAGAAAATTGAAAATTTTCTTCTACTATTCCATTTTCCGTTTAAACAATTTAAAATCAATGATGTTCAAATTATTGTTTATTCACTGGTGACTGCATTTCACTTAATATTGTGAATTGAAAAAAAAAATTTCATATTATAATATAAAAAATTTATTATACACTCGTAAATTTTTCGTACTTCACGATTCTATATACGGGAATGAATTTCGATTCATCATTGACAATAAAAAAAATAGCATGTTGTTATTCATTCATACAATTCCATTGTTTATATTGTACTTATATATGAAACTTACACATACATACATATATATAGTTCAACAAAGTAGTATTGTACATATAATATTATAAATGAATGCATACAAGGGTAGATGACGTATACAATTATTATTGTTTTTTTCTAAGGAAGAAAATATTTTTGTCATGCGACATTTTTATGAACTCTCTATATTTTTCTTTCTCTCCACTTTTTTTTGAATTCTTTATTAAAAAATGTCATTGCCTCTGAGCAACACGCAATAAATAAGTTCAGAAAATTCATGAGATACTAATTAAGCTGTCTTTTTCCATATATACATATTATATACAATGTACTTGTACAAATTGTAAATAATGCAGAACTTCAAGTTACAAGGTTTATAAGTTGCACAAATACTTTTTAATTTCCATAGAAATAATTTAAACGTTTTGTGGTTTTTCTTTTAATATTTTGTATTTAAAGAATTTTCTTTCATATTACTATGAAATTTTTACAAATATACGTAATTAATAAGGTATGTGTAATTGTGTACAATAATGTATATTAAATTGTAAGTAAATATTTTTTAAATGTTTTGTAAAACCACATAAGTACAATAA